TGCCCCTCCAACCCAGGGCTGCCCCCCCCCCCTGGGGCCTCAGGCTCCTTCCTTCAGGTGCAGCCCAGCCAAGAGACCCAGGCCTCTGCTTTCCTATTCCTTTTGTTAAGGAGTTGAGGCCCTTCCCTACCAACCACTGCTCAGACTGAAGGGCAAAAGATTGTTTAACAGTGGCTCATCTAGAAGTTGCAGGAAACACCTTCCATGTTTCCCCTTCATACATTTGAAACTCACCAAGTATTCCCCGCTCCCTGTGTCTAATTTTACACACACACATGATGCATACAACAGAGTAAGATAAACAGAACCATCAGGTCATGACATGAAGATCGATGGGTTACATGAAATAATTCGCTCAAACCACCTTTGAGTTATGTATACTCATGTCCATGAGTCCAGTTCATAAAGCATGGGGGGGAGGGGGAGGTCCGTCACACACATATTGAAAATAAACCCATTTCAAATATTCCATGGCTATAACCTCATCTGACAGTTTTATTACTATAATATCTCCAACTCTGAATACAAAGAGGTACACTCTGTCCAGGAAATGTTTTTTGATATTTTAATTTCTGTATCTAAAGTTCAATCTTAGACTCAAACTGTAAAATATAAAAGACCTTTTAAAAAATTCCTTGTAGTATGTCTTAAGGATGTTAAAATGCATGTTAATTGACTAGTCAACGGAATTTCCATCGACTAGTCAATAGGCACTTCTGCATTCCTCCTTTGAAATGTACAAGAGCCCCAGAGGAATGCGGAACTCTGTCTAGGTCGCTTCACAACATAAACACATTATTTTACTATTGAATAAAAGATCTACCAAATTCTATTGCCTGGGTAGCTGACCTAAGTAAGTATCAGACATCAGCATGTATAGTACAGTACTTTTTTATAGGAACCAACTCAGCTGGGGAGCCCCCCACTGACCCCGGGCTCCACTGCCACTTTGAAATGTGCAGAGGAGGCATCTGTTTCCAGTTTCAGTTAAAAGCAGGAGGCGTAACGGCTGATTCGGTCCGTTTCAAAGCAGTGCATGGGAGGAATGCAGACAAAATTATTTAAAATAATAACATTCAGACAATATATTTCTAGTACCTACAGCTATGGGCATTTACTTAGTAAAGCTTTATTCCCTTAAAGCACTAGTACTTCAGTTCTAGATCTCTGGCTAACCCATAGCCCTGCTCATGGCTTCCATATTTAAATCCTGCTCAAATACCAGTCCAATTTTAAAGTTCTTTAACAGGTGTGGAAAAGAGATGTTTTAGGCCAAGACTCTTTCAGTGAAAGCCCAGTGTGGCATTAACTTGAAGATAATTCGAAATAACGCATCTATAAAGAAAAACTATTTCGAAATAGCACGTCCACACTGAGTGGACCCTGAACCGAGGCTCCAAGGATAGGGAATAACCACCACAAGTCTTACCAGCTAAACCAAAATACCTCTCTCCGTGGAAGAGAGGCCCGTTGCTTCATTGTTCTCTGAAGCCTTTCCAAAATATGCACCAATGTAAAAAGGCAATAGTTTCGGTGCACTTTCTCCTCTAAAAAAGTACTACAAAAAGCTTCTTCCAGACATGTCCTGGGAGCAGTGCCTGATTTTTCTGGAATAAGTGGGACAGTGATAGTAATCTTTTAGTCTCCATTGGGGTTAATTATCTGCAATACGTCTCTTTTAAACCCTTCAAAATTCCTGTTGTTCAGAAGTCAGACTACCTTCCAAGAGGTTAAACTTCAATATTTAATTCACTATGCCACTCAATTCCCATTTTAACATCAACCTATTTAAGTCACTTTTTATTTGTAGAAAAGCCTTGGAAGGAAGCTTGATTTTGTCTATAGTCAGATTCAGGGCAGCTAACGAACTCACCTTGTCTCTAAAGCATAAGAAATGAAGGTTGTTCCTTTAGCATTTTAAAAATTAAACAAGATATTTGTTTGACATTATGTCCCAGAGTCAATGTGATGAGGCCAGGAATTACTCTGCACTTTTTTAAATATTCGTGTCTCTTCACCTAAAGACACTTTACTTCCCCTGCCCACCTTATTCCATTTCTGAAATTCCCAGCTCTGTGGAAACACATTCCTTGTGTTTGTATTCATGCACTGTCTATGTATAAACATGGTTTAGCATAGGAGATGGAATCAGATGTCTAGATTATATTCCTCTGCTCTGCCAATTCCTTGCTATGTGGCCTTGAGCAGGTTACTCAATGTGTTCAACTTTCCTCATCTATTAAAAGAGACAGAACACTGTGTACAACTTAACCAAGAAATTGAGACCTAATTTGTTAGAGTTAGTAAAATGCTATGAGATCCTTTCATGGAAAGTGCTAAACAAGTACAAAGGGTTTCTGGAAGTGTTGTTTCCACAACCATCTGATTTGCCCATCTGTTCCTTCCAAAAAAATGAAATTTCTAGTCAAAAGACTGGTAACACTGGCAGGGTTAAAATGAGGAAAAAAAAGTTTGATAATCTAACTTTTTATACGGATTTGTCAATTGATATGCTTGATAACAGAGGTATAAGTTCTAGACACAGAGATGGAGATGTGAAAGTTTCACACACACCCCATTATAGGGTGGTTGACGTATCCGTGACTGTGTTGAACCACAAAGGAAATCAAGTTAGAGGTGAACAAAGCCAACATTCACACTTTTGTATATTTCAGAATTTTGACTAGATCTGTATGCATTGTGCTTTTCAGAGGAACCATTTCCCTATATGAGCACTTTTGTTGTATGCTTTCCTGCTTTTCTCCATGTTGTCAGTCTGAGGACTGTCAACAAAAAATGCAAAGAATTCTCATGCTACAGAGTAAACTCAGAACTTTTACAGCTAATGTTCTGACAATGTTCTCCTCAGTTGCTTGTCCTCACCTCCTCTTTTGACCTGCAACCCTGGATCAATTCACTCACCAAGGTGGCCACTGACTAGATCTGATTATCTCTAAACACTTTACTCTCTCTTCTTTGCTGAATTTTCCCAATTTGACCACCATCTTGTCTTCACCCACCTGTTCACCAATTCACAGTGCTTTAATATAAGCTGTACCTCTGTCCCAGACAGATTTTTAGCCCAGTTACATAGGATTATTAATTTCCACAGTTCTCAGGCATTGTCAAGCTGGCCACCTTAAATGGCTTGTTTTACTAAACTCTGATTCTGCTCCAAGTGTCAGGGGAATAATCAGGCAGAACAAGCTGAGTTATAAATGCTAAAATGTACTGGAATGGTCTGACTACTCTGTAGAACCCGTTTGAGGATGAGAAACAGGAGAATTTCAGAATATATTACCCCTCCCTGCTCCACTGCAAACAGTGCTGATTTTTCTTCCAGGTATATGTAATTATATGTCACTGACATACTGTTCTATGTTAAGAAGAGGTGAGAGAAGGCACTAGCAATATATTCAAAGACAGAACAGGAACATCATTTGGAATTAATATTGGCTCACTATACATTCCCTTCCACACCTACCCCCAAAAATAGTCATAGTAAAATGAAGGTAGAAAAATATAACCTCTGTCTAAAAGGATGA